GACCAACTCGACTTGCGATCAGAGTCACGGAACGGATTAAGTTCGTAAGTAGAGGTACCACTGTATATTACCAGAGCCTGTAATTATGATTGTTTTATATAATAGCAAGTAATAAAACAGTTTCACATGGGATAGGAAGATTCATAATTATGTATCTTTTAAAATCTTTTTTTCAAATTAAAGTGAATGTAATTTGTACAGTATTTGACTTTCTCAGGGAAATACAAATTAAACTTTCAACTTGGCCAGTAATAACTGTCTTGCTGTGGTGTGAACATTACATGGGGCAGCCTTATTCAGGTTGTCTAGGTGTCCCTAGGATATATACATCATCAAATGTCCTAAATTTAAATGAAATTCTATTCATATGTGATCTTACATAAACTTTCTTATGGATCTCATTTAGTAAGGATATTTGGAAAGCAAGTGTAAGGCTTTTCTCTTAATATATTTGAGGAATACAAACTTTTTCTTCAATAGATAAGAGTGCATATTTTATAAGAATATGCATTTCATATAATTTCAGATACTATGTTATATCCATTGCTCTACTTTTCTTTGATAAGCATTAATACAAAAGATGTTCAAATCCTATTGCTTGTCTTCATCTGAGATATGTGTAGCTGAAATTTAAAAATATATTATATGGCAGTTTTTCATATCAATTAATGGAAAACATTTTGTGTTTTGGTTTGTGCTCATGGGAAAAATTATCCTCTTTTACAGATGGCATCATTAGCAGTATCAAATTGGCCTAAACCATTACCATTAGTTCCTTGTCTCTCCTGGTCTACAGCGTCTGGTGTTTTTACTACGGTAATGCATTTTTAGTTAGCAAATAATTATGTAAATTCTTTGAAAGTACCTCTCTTTGAAATATTAAAGCAACCATGTCTTTTTCCAGAATCACTGGGTGCTTTATAAACTGCTACAAGCTGTCTCCATTGCATGTCCACCCAGCCAGTTTGTTTTACTAGGTGGCTGCTTTACTGTTGCAAAGAGGTGCATGATGTGCACTATTATGTACCAATAAAAGAAAATATATGTAGCTCAGGGTTAAACTGTAGTCCTTGGGGTTCTCTGAGTTCTTTTCTTGCAGTTGTTTCGTGTCCCAAATAGATAACATCTTCAGTGCTAGAAAGGAGCGGGGTTTGCTCCCTGTTTATATATAGTAGCTTCTAACTATAGCACTTCCATGCATAGAACCAAAAATATGGATCCAGTATGTAGGCAACACTTTTATCATAATAAAAAAGGAACAACTAGAGAAGACACATGAAACAATCAACAACATCTTCAAAGGAATAACATTCACAAGGGAAGAAGAAAACAACAACACACTACCCTTCCTGGATATCCACATCAGAAAGGAAATGATGGCAAAATAGAGACACAGGTCTATTGAAAAACAACCCACACTAACCAAGTGCTTCATTACCAAAGTAACAATCCAACTTCCCACAAGAGGAGCTGTGTAAGAACGTTATTCAGACCAGCACAAACACACTGTAGTAACCCAGAACAGCAGAAAAAGGAAACAAACCACCTATACAACATCTTCCAATAAAATGGATACCCACACAACTTCCATCAAAAAGTGCCTGACCACTCAACCCACTACAGCACAACCAACACAAGCTATGAAAAGGATAACAGTGCCATACATCATAAACAACCAACAGACTATTACAACCACATGGCATCACCATACCACACAAACCAACTAAAGCCCTCCAAAATATCTTAAGTAAACCAAAAGACCCAGTAGCCCA